GGGAATACCACAGAAATCACTTGGACTTTAAAATCACATAAAAAGGTGTGCAAAAGTATGCTGTAAAAAATACAATGTGACACTTTACAACGAAATCATCGTACTTTTGGCCCCAACATACATTGCTGCATACTTTTACCCACTTTTATAATTGATTTGATTGTTTGTTTGATTTCTGTTAATTGTTCTCTGTGCCTGTCCAAGTCAAAGAAGGGCTTAATTGGAAAATGAGTTGATGTCCCGAAGGTAAATGGGCGAGGCGTGTTTCAAGCTGAGAGAGACACCTTTTTCCATTCACTTGCCACCGGTTGGAGAGACAGCAAATTATCCGGTTTCCCACTGATGGGTAAACTGAGCCGGAAAAAAGGGGGAAGTGTGGAAATGGACCCCAATGAATGGCATCCGTAAGCCGCAACAATAGCGGCTCTCTGGCGTCTTTGTCATCATTGTGTCGGTGTTTCAGTGTTCATTGTCAGCCGGGTTCCGAGGCCCATACCCACACAAATCGACGGTTGGATCTCAGGTGGTGCGACCCTGATCCCTGGTCGGAATCAGTCTGTTAAACGCTGGACAACTTTTGGATGGTGGATGCGCAATCAGGCAGAGTAACTAAAGTAAATGCATCTACGTGTCCAGAAATTTTGTATACCCTTTCATATTAAAATTATATTAACCATTGCTCTTTGACCTTCAATTATTGTATTTCAATCATTATCGTAGTATACTTTTCAGCTGATACAATTCCAGGAAACAGATTTACTGCGTCACTCCATCAAAGGCTAGGTAACGAATATTGAATTTCTAATACGATTTTAAGTGGAGTCGCGTATAAGAATATTCGATTGCCCTTAAATTATTTATAACAAAAGCAGTTGTAACTACAAATAAGCTACCATATAAATAACTAGAAACCAATTTTATATAACAAATTAAAAATAATCATATAATATACTTATATGTTTATGAGGTTGTTAAATAAATTGCATAAATTATTGCAATTTATTTTATTTTCAATTGAATAGTTTTAAGTGTTATCAATAAATAGCAATAAAGAATAAATTAACTTTTTGAAATATTCTGACTTAATTAATACACATTAGTGACATTGTTAAACATTTGGTTTTAAGCAATTAAGTATTTATTATAGTTGATTTACAAAGGAGAGAATTATGCATTCATTCATTTGGTTATAACATGTAATTTAAATATTTAAATTTGATTTTGCATGACACTTGTCTTTGGTCGCATATTTTGCAGTCAACAATAAATTCCTCGTTAAATTTAATTAATTTGAGTGGATTGTCATTTCATGATTTTATTGGTTTTTATATCCGCTTGCATTTTATTGAATTGTGAGAGCGGGATTGCATTTTTTGTCCGACATTTGAGATTAATCAGTTTCTGGTTGGACTCCAAGTGCCACTCTACTATATATAATATAATCCCGCGCACCTGTGCATCGTGCATCCACATCCAAATCCAAATCCACAACCACATCCACATCCATCCTTTACGTTATGAGCATTTCACACCCAATTAGATTGATAGGACCAGAAGGTACATGAACTATTACCCCGGATCCTGGCTCCCCGTTTCAACCCCCACTTAATTGCAGCGCATCCGAGGTGAAGAGTTCACTGGGGCCAATAATGGCGATGATAATGACTATGATTACGATGACGGGGGTCATGTGAGGACGATGCCGACGAATGACAGCCCCACGTCGCTGCAACCGTTAACAATTTCTGACATTTTGATTTATAAATTCTCCACCAAGACCACCTCCCAATTGTTTTCGCATCTATTCTGGCTCCTGTTCTGTTTTGTTCTTGCCCTTTTGTCGAGACCTCCTTTGCACAAAGTGAAATTTACGTTTGATCCCCAAACAGCGAGGAGATGCCAAAAAATGGCAGGAGTAGACTGGCAAAATTGCTCCATCATGCCCCGGAGACTGGAAGAATAATAACAAAGTGAGGGGCCAGAGTTCAAGCAACGCTCTGCTCCGCAGTTCGATGCCATAAAATGTTATTATACACTCGAGTGTGTGTGCCGAATATTCGGATTTGATGGAGCGTGGATTTCCCAGCCAAATAAACCAGTTTACCAATATACCCAATCGGGTATCCATGAAATCTTTAATTAATTCATAAAACTTAAGTTTACTTAAGATTCGGATAATGACACAAATCATCCGTAAATCTTCTTTAGAGTTGTGTTTTTTTTAACGTTATTATTTTTGTTAATCATTAATTTTTGGAAACAAATATTTTTCAAAAGTCACAGAAGTTGTTCTTAATGTTAGCCAAAAAAAAAACCATCTCATCTTGATTTCGAAACAAGTATTTGTTTGCCATTTCCTACATTTTATTAAAGGGTCAGTCTTGATTAGAAATTCCAGGATCCCGAATCGTTGGCAAAGAGTGGGATATTCGGGTATTTTAGCGGTTATGGAAATCTAATTGTCGTAACATTGAAAACTGAACTCTTGTCTATTCTGGGGGGTTTATGTACCCCATTTTTCCGAAGGGGCTTTCAATTCAGTATCGGGTACAACGCACCTTTTCTAGTCATTTTTGTCATCCTTCGTTTTCTATTTCTTCGCTTTATTTATGCCATTTTTCTTTATTTTCTCAACTTTAAATTTAACGAAAAAGAGCAATTCAAGAAATGTTCTAACACAACTAAAACAAACATTTCTGAATTTTAAGGGCTCTGTGAATTTAAAGCGATCTATTTTAAAATTCCTAAGGCAATAATCTTAGTGAAAAGTTAAGGAAATTTGCAAAAGGCGTAGCATTTTTTAAATTAAAAAAAAAAATTATGTTTCTTTTTTCCTGCCGAATCCATTGTAAATAGAAAGGAACAAAATTCCTATACATTAAATTTATCAAATATATATTTTATGAGAAATATTTAGTAAGTCAAGGAAACATAAAGAAGAATAAACTATCGGCTTAAAAGTTTTCTCGTTTTGAGGAAAGAAGTAAATTTTTCATTGCTTATGGCACCGCCACCAGGTGACGCCACTACTAGCACCAGTGTCGGAATGTAGATGGCGCCGCCACCCAATCAAGCCGCAATTGCCAACCGTCGAGTGTTTTGATTAAACGTTTCGCTTTAATTGCTCCATCATCATTGGTTGGCGGTGGGTGGTGGGTGGTAGGTGGGTGGTGCGGTGATGGGCTGATGGGGTCGTGCAAAGTGGTGCATTTTATGTGCGTGCTCGAGTGTGGTTCGCTGGTGAAGTGACGCGTACGGGCAAGGACCATTGAACTTTTCCGTGCAAATGGGAATAGATGACGAAGGGCTATGAATATGACATGACGACTATTAGCCACAAAACAAGCCTTTCGTGTTTGATTGATTTTGGAAGGTAAATAAATAGGAATGTATTTATTCCGAAACATATTCCATGAATACATTAACACGTGTATGCAACTCTCGAACTGTTCATTTATTGGAGAAAACATGGTTTTCGTATGATTGAGTTTAAAGAACATACATACACCCAGAAAAACCATATTGGAATTGAATAAAAAACAAAAATCAACCCGAAACCTTAACAACTACCAAGGGTTTAGAACATCATTACACATTTTAAGAACGATTTTATGAACAGAAGGTTTGTGTTTTTACAAACGGCGTTCGATTTTGTAAACAAATATTCTATAAACTATTTATATATGTATATGTATATATATATTTTTTTGTTTTTGAAACTATGATTCCGATATAAAGTTGGATATCATTTAAAACAATTTGTATTGTAATATTTTTTGAAATAATTTTGTATTGTCTTCAAAATGTATTAATTTGTAGCAAAGGATTTTCAGAGAGTATCTGTATAACGTGCATCTCTTAATACTATTTGCAGATGCAGACCATGCACTTCAATTTCGTCAACAAGTTAAGCCTGTTTTCGAATCTGAGAACTGAGAGAGCAGAATTCAGCTAAATAAACACTTGGACCAACGATCATATCCCTATTTCACATCTACACCGATATCTTCGGGTTCACATGCCCATCACAATATTTAAGTACAAAACAACTACCACACGAACAAGCTGATTATTCGCCTTATCACAGTGCATGCAATTTATTGTTTTTTTTTTACACTACCAGAAGGCATTGTAGCTACATAAAAATGCAACCACGACGGGCCAATACCCTTATAAAAATAATTTTAGTTTGGTATATCTTAAGAACAAGCACTTAGCTAAATTTTACATTTTATTGATAGAAAAAAAATTAATTACTCTGTAATATTTTAAATTGTAATTATAAGCGTATGCATTTTGAGTTTAGCTCGTCTATAAACAATGTTATATTTTTTTATTTTATTGCACTTTTTAGATAAGAGTACAAGAACCACAAAAGCCACATTAAACAGATACAGGGTTAGAAATAAAAAAAAAAAAGATCTTTATATTCACATTTAAGAAAATAACTTTGAGGAAAAAACTAAAAAAAAAAAAAATTTGCCTAATAACTATGAATAGTTGAAATTATTTTATCAAATTATTAAAAGTGTAAAAATACATGATTAATTCAATTTGTTTTTTTCAAAAATTCCATTTTTCTTAAGTTTTAAACAAACAAATTAAAACAAATAAATTAAAATGTAAGTCATATAATAAATTATATATTACTTAAACGAGCTCTTAAAATTAAAAAAAAATAAAGCAATCCATATATACGTAATCCATAATTAAATTCTCATAAAATGCCATTTAATTCTGGTTTTAAACAAACCAAAAAGAGTTTTAAAATATTTTAACTGATTAATTATTTGAAATAATACATATGTTTTTTTTCCAAATAAATCCCTTATATTGGTCTTAGAATACAAAAATAAAAGTAATTAAAATTAACCATGAACACGTACCTCAATAAATGCCATCCTATTCAGATGTGCGCATCAGCTGATTGACTATTCCTGCAGGGTATTATCGCCGTCAACAAAGGAGCCATGCGGTATAAAACCAGTACACAGCAATCGGAGCTCCAGACCTCAGCTGCTCGTGCTGTCGACCAGATCGGTTATTATACATACATACATACATACATATCTCCGTAATGCCACGCCCAGTTCTGTTAATTCACGGCGGAGCTGGTGATATATCCGAATCGAGAATAGCGGGCAAGTTCGTGGGCATCAAGCAGGCCCTTCGCTCCGCCTGGTGTCTGTTGAGTCCAGAAAATGGCACCGCCGGCAGTGCCATGGATGCCGTGGAGGCGGCCGTTCGGAGCATGGAACTGGACGAGAACTTCAATGCCGGCTATGGTTCGTGCCTGAACACCAGTGGCCAGGTGGAGATGGAGGCCAGCCTGATGGAGGGCAGACAGCTGCGTGCCGGCTGCATCACCCTGCTGCGGGATGTGATGCATCCGATCACGGTGGCCCGTCGCCTGTTGGAGAAGCAGCGGCACACCTTTCTGGGCGGCGAGGCGGCCCAGGAGCTGGCCCTGGCCACCGGAAGCGAGAGACTGCCACCGGGTGCCCTCATCACCGAGGGCGCCCGCTACACGTTGAAGGAATTCCAGGAGCAGGTGGCCCAGGGCAAGGATCCATTCTTTGCGCGCACCGAATTGGCCGAGGATAAACTGACGCCAAAGACGGATCCCAGTGGTGAGACCGTGGGCGCCGTGGCCATGGATGCAACTGGCCAGATTGTGGTGGGCACCTCCACCGGCGGCATCACAGGCAAGTGGCCGGGACGGATTGGGGACACACCGCTGCTGGGCAGCGGCACCTATGCGGATAACCTTCGTGGCGGAGTGTCGACCACGGGACACGGCGAGACCATCATGCGATACAATCTGGCACAGCGCATCCTGGCCGCCATGGAGCATCGCGGACTGTCCGCCCAGGAGGCCGCCGACAAGGAGTGCCAAGAGATGACCAAGCGGCTGGGCGGCACTGGCGGCGCCATCGTCGTCGGCCACACCGGCGATCTGGGCATCAGTTTCACCTCACACCGCATGGCCTGGGGATACGTCCAGGATGGCACCATCTTCTACGGCATCGAGGGCCAGGTGGTGCTCCAGGAGCCGTTCACAGTTGCCACTTAGGGTCTACAACAAAGTATACACCTAAATCTATTACCAATTACACAAGATGTCTCACAAAACTAGATAATAACTTACAAAATTAAGCCGCATATACATACATTTCATGATGCCTTTGCCTAAATTGAATAAAGTTTATACTTTTTATTTATTTACAACATTTTGGGCACTTAACCAACTAGTTTACGTATGTTGTATGTACAATGTACATCTAAAAAACCAGAGACTAGTTTTATAAGCAAGTTGAGTTATAATAAAGAGAGACATATATTGGTTGACATAATTAGTTGAATTTAATAAAAAAAAAATAATGAAGCCCATTTATTTACATAATTGAGCACTACTTAATATATCAATGAGTCCAAAATACTAGACACAAATTGCACTTCTACTGCTTATAGCAAACGATTATATATTTACAATGTTGCTAGATAATGAAATAAATCAAAACCATTCAAATTGCCTTTGAAATTAAAAACTAAATTCGATTTAATTTAATTTGTCGTAGGTTAATACAAAAAAAAAATGGCTGCTTCTATGACAATTAAACTAATTTCAATTTTTGTATAATGCAGAACAGATATTTCTTACAAGCCCAAAGTGATCCCTGACTTACGTACAATATTGCCAACTAACCAGCTTAAATGGTTACTAATAATTTGCCTAATTTCTAGTTCGAGGTAAGGCTCAATCATTCCGGCCACGAAAATTCCGCACAGAACAAATCGTACTGCATTGAGCGGAAGGGCAGGAGGAGGAGTAGGAGGAGGATGAGGAGGAGGAGGAGCAGCAACAGTGACCAGTGGTTAGCTGCGACTGGCTCCCTGGGGCGCCACATCCCGCTGGGACTCGTGCGCCTCGGTGAGACCGTAGCAATGCTTGGCCGCCGCATCGCGATACTTGTTCTCATGCTCCACGGAGTGCGAGTTCGTCCGGCACTTGACCAGGCACAGCTCGAAGTGGTCCGTCACGCTGGCGAAGATGTACTTGGGCGTGTTGGGCGCCCGCAGGACGCGCTCCAGCAGCGGCTGCTGGCCGGGATGCAGGCAGCAGGAGACGCAGTACTCGTACACGGCACAGCAATGGGTGCTGGTGTTGCAGGTGCGGCAGCTGTAGTAGCCAATGCCGGGCAGTTCCGGATTGCAACAGCCGCTGGTCAGCACCTCCTCCCGTCGGCACACGAATCCACGCTCGTCGGCCAGCAGTCGGCGACCCTGTACGGAGTTGCGGCAGCGCACCTCCGGATCGGAGCGCGTCCGATTGAGCTGCTCCTCGGGCGCCAGGAGCTGCTGCGTCCACAGCAGCGGGCGGGTGCGCTGCACCACGTGCTCGTCATAGTGCAGACCGGCAAAGGAGTCCTGCGGTGGTCGAGGATAAAGTAATAATACATTCTATTGCATAATAGAGGGGGAAAATGTCTTCATTTCCTTATGATTCACTTGGGAGTGATACGATTTATGGGACTTTTATGGCATTTGGCTAGGTGAAGCTGGTTGTACAAACAAAGGGTCAGACAGCGCCTGTTCCTGGTGTACAGAATACGCTAATCGTGGCAACTGGAGCACCAGCACTCACCCGATCGAAGAGGTGTCCAAATCCGTAGACGAGCAGCAGCACCAACAGCACAATGTACACAATGCGACGTCTCAGCAGGCGGGACAGGGCGGCTGGCCACATGCTGGCCACAAGCTAGCGCTCCATCACAGCCACCGGCGGCTGGAATCCGTCCGAGAAGCGGACATGGCGTTGGATCGAAAGCTGGACCGGAATCTTAATCGGGAACGGGACACTTGCTGCTCGCAACCAGCGATTCCACGGGTCAAATGCGACTGGTGCATTGGATGCAGTTGCTCCTTGGGTGGTTGCTTCTCCAAATCACCGAATTCCCTTGTCGGTCACAGCGATCTCCAGATTCCTAAAATAAATTGCACTTTTTGTTTTGCTGCAGGTCATAGAGGTGACACTCGCGTTGTTATCGATAACTTATTTGTTTCGATGTCGATGACAATTAACACCTTCATATTTAAATAAATCATACAAATATTTTTATAGTTTAGAAGCAATCCACTGAATTAAATATTCCAACTAAACATTTATTATAAAATTTGTATCATAAAATTCTTAAAACAAATATCTTAGTCATAATCAAATCATAACAAGAAAATAAGTCTTCTTCGCAAAGCCGTAGTTTATATACCCTTTTAGCTAAAAAAAAACTATATTGTTTTAAAAAATGTTTACATAACCCAAATTTGAAGCGTATATGTTAAATAAAGAATGAAGTTATTTCGGCAGGCATACGGATCGAACAGGATATCATATAGCTTCCATAGGAACAATCTGACATAGAAATAGTTCGATAGTTCAGAATTAAATTATAAAAATTAATTATTAAATTATAAAATAGCTACAACACATTCTCTTTTCCATTTCGCAAAGCATGGCTTGCTTTAATCTTAATATATGACAGCTCGAAACTGGATCAGTGTTGTGTGCAATCGAACTTCTTCCAGTTTTCTGCAAAGGATTTCACCTTTCCGATGGGATTTGGCTCCTTCCGGGGCTTGCGCCACGCATTCGGATTCAGCTCCAGCATGCCACCAAGTATTTCCTACAAATAAGAAACAGACTCAGTTGGAAATTGGTTTCAAGCAGTGAGATCCTTTGCTAGCAAACCTGGGCAAAGTTGGCCGGAAAGCGGTCCTCATCCTCGATGACGTGAGCGAAGCCCGAATCCATGCCAAAGTGCACCCAGACGTAGGGCAGTCCCTTGGGAATGGCCGCCCGCAGGGACTTCTGGCGCAGCGAGACCAGCTGCTTGTTGATGCACCACTCCTGCTCGGACTCCTCGATGGCCTTCTTGAAGTAGAAGGGCGCCATCTCGCCCTGGCTGACGGGAATGGGTATGCAGTGCACGCTGAAATGCGGACGCCGATGCAACTTATTGGCGATCTCGTAGAAAATCACATCCTGCCGCCGGGCGGCAAACATCCGAGTGAGGGCCTTGCGAAAGTTACCCAACTCCTCCCAGCCGTCCTCGTCCAGCTGCGTGCAGCAGGGCACATGCTGCAGACTGGTCAGGATACAGTGTCCGCTCTGCAGACCCATATGCCACGGCAGACTGAGGTAGATCTTCTCGCCCAGGGACACCAGCAGTTGCTTGTCCAACTTGGCGGAATCAAAGCAACGTTCACAGTTCTCCAAACTGGCCGCCAACCTCTCATGCTCCCGTATGGCGCTCTGCAGCTCCCGCTGCTCAGCGTCGCCGGCCGAGATCTGCTTGCGCACCTTGTCGGCGAATATGTCCTCCAGATCATCGTTAGGATTCTTGTGTTTGGCCACAATGTCGGCATACTGCAGGTTGGCCTCGGCAGCCGTGGCATGCTTCTCCCGCTCAAACTGTTGGTTAACAAGTGTAAGTGCTTTTAGCTTTTGTTGATACATATATATGTATATAGTTTAGCTTACCATTTGCTTGATATCATAGCGATCGTCGTCGGCAAAGTATCGCACCCGCTGGCCATCCACATGGGTATCCACCTTCTTGCTGCTACGCTTCTGTCCCCGCCTTCCGCCGTACAGCTCGTTGGGATCGGCGGAGTGAATGAGGGGTCGCACATTGCCGCTCTGGTCCATCTTGGTGAGCAGGACATGCTCTGTCGAGGCCTTGGACTTGGACTTGACTGCTTTGCCAGTTGGTTTTGGTGCCGTCTTGCCGGAGGCAATGAACTCCGCTCGTTCCTTGCGCGCTGCCTCCAGCTGCTGGTTTAGTTCCGCCGCCAGCTCCTTCTTGCCTTTGAGTTCCGCCTTGATGGCCTTGCCGGCCAGTTCGTTGATCTGCTCGTCTGTGAGGCAGGCGGCCGTGGGCTTAGCTTCCTCCTCCTCCTCTATCGCCTGTTCCTCCTCAGATGAGGAGACACTGCGAGAGCGAGATCGTGAGCGGCTACGTCTTGCCGGACTGAGAGGCTTTGCGCCAGGCTTTCGCCAGCCGCGTGATGATCCCTGAACGGAGCTGATGGGCGGCGGCTTGGAATGTCGCTCATCGTCGTCCTGCGGCTTCTGGAAGCCGGGCAGTCCGGTGCCATTGCTCTTCCAGTAGGGATTGAGCTCACGACCGCTCTTGGCCGGATCGTAGGCATCGATTTGTTGCGCCTTCTCGTTGGGCTTGGCCGGTTCCTTGCGCTCCTTGGAGAAGGTCTTCAGCAGCAGAGCCTCGCTGGTCATCCAAGTGTCGCGCTGAAGGGACACCTTCTCGGTCACCTTATCCGTCACGGAAGGCGGCGGAGCCTCTACCCACTCGTCCTCGCTGATGCTCTTCTTGCGGCTCCTCTTCGACTTTTTCTTGCGACGCTTGCGCTCCTTTTCATCCTCACTGGAGGAGGAAGAGGAGGATGAGGATGAGGATGAGCTGGATGAGCTAGAACTGTCGCTACTGCTGTGGTGTTTCCTGCTCTTCTTGGAGGACTTGGACTTCGACCGGGACTTGTGCTTGGAGCTCTTCTTTTTGACCTTCTTGGCGGGCTTCTCCGCCAGTTTCTTGGCCACGGCGGGCAGCATCCAGTCGGCTTCGCCGCGCAGCTCCTTTTGCCGTTCCCGCCGGCCACGGAGCTCCGCCCGTTCCTTGGCCTGCTGCAGCATCTCGGAGCGGGCCTCCCGCAGCTCCTGGCGCGCCTTGTCCTTCTCCCTGGCACTCTCAAATTGTATATAGCTCATGTCAAAGCGCGTTGTTTACTCATTTACCAAAACAATGATTTTGAATTAGAGATGGGTGACTTCGTTGCAGTTAGACATATCGATTAATGTACAATCGAGGCTTTTGTTTCGACATTAATCGAAATATACACATTTAAATTCATTTCAATTAATAAGCTATTGTTATTCATAAAACATTGTTATGTTGAAAGAGCTGCGATTGTAATGTATGTATTTAAACGATTATATATTAAATATATAAATAAAATATCCTTTATTTAATAGAATATATATTTTTTGTTTGGCAGAAGAAAAGCTATATATGTACATAAAAAGTAATATTTCATAAATTTTTAATTTTTAACATATGTACATAAGATGGTGAGCATTCAAGAAAATAGAAAACGATGTGATAGTGGTTCGAAAATGCAAATAACATGTTCATAATTAATACCTACAAAATTTGTTTTTCTTAATTAAAATACCTATATTAGGTTTAATCTAAGGCAAAGCAAATCACAGCCTGCCGCTCAGTCATCATCTTCATCCTCCTCTGAGGTGGCATCCACCTCCGCCTCCTCGGCCATCTGCTGGAGCACCTTCGCCCGCACCTTGGCATCCTCGATGAGGTGCGCCGGATGGATGTAGCTCCTGTTGGCACAGCCCAGAACCGGACACCGGATGCCGATGTTGTTCTTGATGAGCGGCATCACCGAGTCGCGGTCGTAGATGTGACCGCACACCGTGTTGCGCACTGGGTTCTTCATCAACGCCTTGGACCAGGGATCGTAGAGCGAGAAGATCTCGCCGCCGGTCTCCTCGATGCCCTCGATGATGAGGTCGTCATCGTGGGCGGCTGTGCCATTGGCTGCATGGCCAGTATCCTCCGCAGATCCGTAGGAAGCTGCTGCAGCCTGGACAGCTCGCTTGAAGTTCTTGAACTCGGCCATGTTCCCGACATTGATGCGTTTCTTGTCCACCGCCTCGCAGCGCTCCTTCCAATTCCTCTCGAACTCCTCGATGGTGGAGCTCTCGCTTTTGGCCTGCTGCATCGCCTGATCGAGTGATTGGTGCTTGCTCTTCATCTTAATTAGATTCTCGGCCTGCTCCACGCGCTTTTGGGCGCTTTCCTCCAGCAGTTTTTGCATCTCCCCGCCATTTCTAAACTCGGACATGACTGTCCGACAGGCAAAACTGGCTTTAAAAGAGTTTTTTTAGGTTTTTATACCAGCTCACCATCGGCCAATTCCCTGAAGAACTTTGTATTGTCCACTAACGTGTCCAATACGGCATTCACATGCTGATTAAACTCCATTTCTTCTTAGATTTCCTGAATCGAACTGAAAAATAAAATTTGAGCCAGGCGCAAATCAATTTTTCGATAGGCAAGGGTATCTAGTGATGGGCAAAAGTTGAAGAACTAACTGGTTTCAGTAAACCGTGACTTTGAAGAAGTCACGTTTTGAAATCGTTTCGAAAGCCATTAGGCATGGTTAGAAAATTAATATAAATTCAATTTTGTAAGCAAATTATTTATTTTATTTGAATAATAATTAATAACAAATGATTTTAACAACAACCAAATTAAAAGTACATTTAACCAAATATATAAAATATACAGAAATACACAAATACACGTCGTATATATATGTTAAATTAGACTAAATTATGAGCTCTTGGCTCGTAAGTTGTAATCATATTTATTAGGTATAATTTTATTTCAATAGTTATCCGACCAAACTATATAATATAACACAGTATAATAAATAAAATAAAGTTTTATACAATAAATTTTTTTATTTGTGAATAATATTAAAATATAAGGAATAGAAATGCATTCATAATTTATATTTTGCCATACAAACACAAAATACCACACAAGTTAGCGATGTAGTGATTGCGGCTTAGTGTGACCGCTGCGGCGACTGTGCGGTCACACTGGCCGGCGAAAGTACCGGAACACCTGAGTGTTATCGGTGTTATCGGCGTTATCGGCGTTATCGGCTGAAGCTAACCTGGCTAAGCGGCCAACTTTGCAGCGGGACAGACGCCGAGCAGACGGACGAGCAGCGCCAACGCGACCGCCACCAGTTGCTCCAATCCAATCCAATCTCAGCCAACCTCCCCCCTCCCCTTCAGAGCTCCACGTGTGCGGGAGAAAGCGATTACCGGGATGCAGGTGCAGGGATTGCAGCTGGTGCTCCTGGCCCTCCTGCCCACACTGACCCTCGGGCTGCTGGAGGGCCTGTACTGCGGCAAGGAGAACTGCTACGATGTGCTGGGCGTGACCAGGGAATCCTCCAAGTCGGAGATCGGCAAGGCCTATCGCCAGCTGGCCAGGCGCTATCATCCCGATCTGCATCGTGGGGCGGAGGCCAAGGCGACGGCGGAGACGCAATTCAAGCTGGTGGCCACCGCCTACGAGATCCTGCGCGACGAGGAGTCACGCACGGACTACGACTATATGCTGGACAATCCGGATGCGTACTATGCGCACTACTATCGCTACTACCGGCGACGCGTGGCGCCCAAAGTGGATGTGCGCTTGGTGATCGTCGTCGTGCTGACCATTGTCTCCGTCATCCAGTACTATTCCGGCTGGCAGCGTTACGATTCGGCCATCAAGTACTTTGCCACGGTGCCCAAGTACAGGAACCAGGCGCTGGACATTGCCCGCGATGAGATCCAGGAGCGGATCCAGAAGAAGGGCAAGAACAAGATGTCGAAGAACGACCAGCGCGAGGAGCTGGAGCGCATCATCCGGCGGGTGATCGAGGAGAAGATGGACGTGAAGGGCGGCTACGCGAAGCCGACACTGTGGGATGTGCTGTGGGTGCAGCTGATCATCTGCCCGTACACGATACTCTCGTTCATCGTGTGGCACGCACAGTGGTTCTGGCGCTACACGGTGATGAAGCAACCGTACGGGCGGGAGCAGAAGCTGCATCTCATCCGCCGGCACCTGGGCATGGGACAGCATCAGTTCGAGGCGCAGGAGGACAAACTGATCGAGGAGTATCTGCATCTGGAGCTGTGGAAGCGGGACAATTTCACCGCCTGGAAGGCGGAACAGGACGAGGAGATGAAGAAGAAACTGGCGGAGAATCCGCGCTACAAGGCCTACAGGCGGTACATGAAGAACCATGGACCTGGTCGAATCACCTTCGAGGATTAGCCGGCGGCGGTGGGATGTTCCAACTTGTATTGTTCCATCTGGAATCTGTTGTGTGTGTGTGTGTGTATGTGTGCGCGCAAAACCGATCCATATTCCTCGCCCTCGCCAATCCCTACCGACTACAATTTTATTTATATATACATCTATATATATATATATATATATATATATATATATATAGTTTTTGTACACGGACTAAAATATGAATTATGTTAATGCCCCGGTGTTTGCCGAAGGGCGAAACGTTGACCCCGCCGGGAGTTATCCGCCAAAACCGGTTCAAGAACGTGGCCAAGTTCGGTTCTCGCCGCCACAGTGGCCGCTGGCTAACGTGGACGAACCACCCTAGAACAATTACCCCCCTGCCTGGTCACAAAATCCACGTCGTACGCGTGTTTCCCACTAAACTTGACTAACCCGAGTAATCTAATAAACTAGATAGAATTTAATCGTCTCTCTCTCTCTCTCTTTTGCGGGGGTTCACTGTGCCAAGTTTGCACAGTTGCTCTGTTGAGCCGAAAATTCGATTTCGTGGCACAACAAAAAAAAAAAGCACACACTTATTTCTTATTTTCCACTAAACAGCATCTTTCCGCACTTTTGTTTACACAGTTTGCATAGAAACAAAATTTGCTTTTTGTTTCGGATGCCGGAATTGGGGGATCAACAAATATAGTTAAACTCAAGTACGTGCCCAAAGAAAGGTGAAATATGAAAGAAAACAAGTCTGGATTAAGGGCATGGCCTTCAAAATATGCTATATATGTGGGTATTAGTCCCTGATACTCTAAGTTTAGCGATTAAAATGAAGAGACATCATAATTTTAAGTTTTTGATTTTACCAACATTTTAAAACTTTTACAAAATATCAAAATAGATTACTTAGCAGGTTACTTGAAATAAATTATATATTTTGTAATAAATAAATTATTAAATAGACTTGCAAACTTAATTGACATTTTTCTGAGTTTTAATTTTCGAAATCTTTTTTTTAATTTATAAAAATTCGACCCAATTTCTCATTTCTCAAACGAAAACCATTTCAGATATATTGTAAACTTAATTTTATAACTGATCTTGTCCCCATTTTTTATAACATAATTATAAATAACTTTATAATTCCATTATTTACATTTTAAACTATATTTACGGAATCCAGCCTGTCCTAAAAAAAAAAATTCCATTTGCTTGTTTGAATATCCGTTCAATTTATTTACATCGATTTTACCGGGCTTAAAGTTACGTATCTAAATGTTGTGGACTAAGAACTACGGGTTGGGAAAGTTTTGTGGTACGTCCGTAGATGAAGCAATCATTGAGGGTGGATGACTACTACCGTGGACCAAAATTAGTGGTTTCGTTTGCACTATTGATTGCTGTGGGGTGCAGTGTTGTCCAAGGACAAATACTAGTCGATAATGTATTTGGATTCGTCGACAAACTGCTCGGTGTCGAGCAGATCACCGACCAGCTCCTTGACGGAGCGCACACTCTGATAGCCGTCGACGTCGCCAAAGTCCGGCTCCGCATACGAATCGTCGTGGTCATCCAGGTCATCCTCGTTGCCTCCAGCCTCCCGCTGCTCTTCATCCACATGATCCTCCTCGTTGAACATGAAGTCATTGGCAACGATGCACTCCTCCAGCACTTTGGTCTGCTCCAGCACCACGGAATCCAGGCTGAATGCCTGGGGAACGGGAACTTGCTTGCTTGCTCTACGGGTGGGCAGACGCAGGCTGCGATTCGATCCTCCAGCGGACGACGTTGCCGCGCCGCTGCTCCCCGTTCCCGATCCCGATACCGATCCACAGCGATGCTGATCCATATGGGCCGACAGATAGCTCTTTTTGGTGAATCCCTTGTCGCACTGGGTGCACTGGAACTGCTTCTTGCCGGTGTGCGTGCGCCGATGGACGGAGAGCACATGGGCATAGGCGAATCCCTTGTGGCACACTTCGCATATATAGGGTCGCTCGCCGGTGTGGATCCTCTCGTGCTTCTTGCTGCTCCCAAAGTCCGAGAAGCGGCGCTCGCAGAAGCGACAACCGTACGGCTTCTGGCCGGTATGGACACGCATGTGACGGCGCAGCTCCACGTTCGAGATGAACGCCTTTTGGCACACCTCGCAGGGATACGGCCGCTCGTTGTTGTGCCGCCGCATGTGGGCGTTGAGGGCGTGCTGGTACTTGTACGTGTTCCCGCACACATGGCAAATCTTCGGCGAGCGTTCGGAATAGCGTCGCTTGGCCGCGACTGCCGGCTTGTAATCCTCATCGCGTTCCGGCACCGGCACCGGCAACCTTTCCCGCTTGACAACGGGCGAGACGCGTCGATGGGTGCGCTTACGCAGCTGGCTGCTTGACTGCAGCGGCGGCGGCGGCGGCAGCGGCGGACTGTCCACCACGGACTCCTCCATCAGTGGCGTCTCAATCTCGTACAGATGCTGCGGTGTGTGGTCAGCATCCCAGGGGTCCAGGCCCAGCTGCTCCTCCTCCTCCTCCTCCTGCTCCTCCTCCTGCTCCTCCTCGAGCCCTTCCTCGTGCTGGTGTTGCTGCTCGTTGGAGTCCTCATCGTCTGGCTGCTGCTTGATGGGATCCTGGTCCTGCAGATCATTCAGGGACAGGACCATGGCACCATCTGGCAGCAGAGTGAGGGCGTCAGCCTCCTCCACCTCCTCCTCATTCGCCTCCACATCGTGGTAGTAGGCGGTTTCAGTGCCCCTGGCTATGGCACTGGAGAAGCTGGTCTCCATGTCCAGCCGCTTGATCTTCAGTGTGGCGGGCAGCCGAAGTTGGGCTTGTTTCAGGTCCAGCTTGAGCTGCTCACTCTGCTGCTGGCTAAGGAGCAGCGTGGAGTGGGAGAAGGAGGAGCCAGAGTGGAATAGCTTCTGGACGGCGGCGCATTTCTCGTGGAAGCGATAGGACACGGACAACTCCAGATAGCACTGCTTGCAGATCTTGTCCGGCCAGCGCTGCAGTTCATCGGGACTGCCGTCCAGCAGCTGCAGGCTGGTGCAGTGCCGGATCTTCTCCAGGATGAGCATGTGCGGCGACTCCGGGTCGTGGCCATAGATGGAGCTCGAGTCGGGCTCCTCCATCAGGCAGACCAGGCAGGCCACGCCCAGGTCCACCACCCGCGACTCCAGGTGGCTGTTGGGCATTGCTAGGATCTCGGACAGAAGCTGCGCTCTGGCTGTTCCACAAGCTCGGTTGGCCACAAATATCCACACGCGCGCTGTCAATACAAAAAAAAAAAAAAAAAAACACTTCTGACTGCCAATTCTTGTTAGGGATGGCACTCGCCAGATTTTCGGTACCTCATTCTCACTCACGACGCTCACGAGACTCACGCAACTATCGATTCGGTTTGGTGGTGACTTTTAAAAATGTTGATAGTTTAATTGTTATTTATATTTACAGATTAACTTTTAAATGGCATTTCTTCCTGAAATGTACGAAATCAAATTTGTTAATTAATGTTTTAAAGCTATATAAATACTTAATTATACTTTTTATAGTAATATTATTTCATTTTAATTTTAATAATTAATTTCATATTAAATACAATAAATTCAGGTTTTATTTGGAGTAAAATCACTAAATTGCTTAAAAACACTTTGTTTCCGAATATAGATAATTAATTAATTAAGGGACGATTAATTTTTTAAAAGATCTTTTTTCATTTTTCTTGGAATATTTCAAACATTTTTATAAAGATTTATGCTGTAGGGATTAAGAAATTAACTGTTTAATGATTTCAGTTTAGTTTAGTTTAGTTTTCAAAGCCAAATGAAAACAATTTTTAATATTAATTAATTCATTCATTAATTCAATACCTTTAATTTAATAATAATAATTTAATAAAATGATTTATGACCCTTTGGTTTAATTGTTCCACTATTAATAAATAAAGAATGATCAAATTTATAAACTCTGGGTTTATTTGTATTTATTATTATTACAATATTAGTTAATTTTTTATAAAAATCCATACCCATCCTCCAAAATGTGAGAATATATCTTGGTTTTGCATGTGTTGACATGTTGTAGCTATATTATAAATCGATCGATTGTGACAATTTAATTTGTACTTAAATTAATAAAGCTATTGTCTATGACTATGTACGAAACATTTAAGGTTCATGCTCATTTAATACCGAGTAATCACAGCGATTCCCTTAGGATGTCTTTAATGGCCTGTGTTAGAGGAAATACGGGCTTCTGATTTTGGAGTTTTTTTTGAGTGTTTGGCATATAGCCACACACGTTCCTGAGGTCATCAGTGTTGAGGGAGAAGACCATAACGCCACCCAAATTGAGGGACTTGACATAGTTGGCCTTGCAGGCGATGCTCGTTTGGTTCTCATAGGATATCCACTCTTGCAGGGCGGCCAAGTAGGGTGAACAGGTGCCAGCATCGTAGTGGAGACTGGGCTTGTAGTATTTGGAGGCGCATTCGCAGGTCTCCGACAGCGTGGTGAAGCCCAGTTGGCCACATTTCCCATAAGCCGATGCAGGCGCTCCTATCCTCTGATTCAAGGGATTGACCAAGCTGTTTAATTTGGTTCAAAAATAGAATTAGAAATGTATACATAAATGGATAAATGGTATAACAAAGCAACTAACGTGAAGGAGTGTCCATAGGTGGGCAGACCCACCACCAATCTATGTGGCTCCAGACCGCTCCGGAGCCACCATTGCACCGTATAGTTGATGTTGAATGTGCCCATCAGGGATCGTTCCTGGGCGCGGGCATAGAGCGGAGCATTGAGGCCCGTAAAGGGCATGTCCTTGCGGTAAAAGTGAAAGTCGTAGGCCATCAGATTCACATAGTCCGCATACAGATTCAGCTCCCGGATGTCATAGGCATAGAGGGCGATGCCCTCGGGAGCAGCCACCGCCAGCGAGAGTATGTCGTTGGTCCGCTTCTCGCGCTGCCACTCCATCCTGATCTCGTGGAGCAGCTGCGACAGATGCATTCGTTCGCGGTCATAGGCACTGGGAAACTCCCAGTCCAGATCGATGCCATCCAAACTGGGATAGGTGCGCATTATTTGGCGAAGGGAACGCAGGAACACCTTTCGCATCGCATGATTCACCACCATGCGGGCAAATTGTCGCCCGCTGTCGGCTCCTCCGATCCACAGGAGCAGGTGTACCTGTGGATGGGCCGTGCGATAGGATCGGCTGTCATACTGCAGCACCTGGATCAGGGATTTGGGCAAAACTATTGTGGCATTATCCAAACTGGCGGGCCCGATATTAATGTGGGTGCACAGATCACCGGGAACATCCAGCAGGCTAAGATTATATGTGCCATCGCTGGCATAATAGCACACCAATCGCTGCTCCACTTGCCCCAATCCATGCGACTGGAGACCCATCAATCCATGGCAGATAAAACCCACGGAAAGGCACAACAAAAGCGACAACAACAAAGCAATCCAGCAGATCAAAGTACGCAGGCCGGATTTCCCGTATCCTTGGCGGCTGGACAACTCATCTGCAATCCGCCCGTGGACATTATCCTCCAGTTTGTCGTACATGCTCCCCATCTTTTCTATTGTTCGTCTGGGCAAATGTCCATTAAATTAAATAAATTTGTTATCTTATCACATTCGAGACAAAACGAAAACAATGACAGGGTTGTCATTTTTAGTGCGTTTTGGTATATTTCGAAATGGTTTGGTATTTTTCTTTGTTCAGTATTTTGTTGGAAGCACAAATGATTTTTCAAAACAAATGAGTGCTTTTGCACTCAGCGAATAGACATATTATATTTAATTAAAATAATACAAATAATTTTAATAATTACAGCAAACACACATGTTTTTTTATTTTTTTAAATGCACTTTCTTAAGGCTGGTTTCTTCTTGTTTTTTTTTTTAGTGTCTGGTATTTAAATAGCCCACCAAAATATATCGATTGTTATCGAAACCAGACCATTGCTATTGTTTTCTTTTTTGTTTTTACCGAACAGAACAAATAACCACATATAATGTTGTTTTGTGCTGAAAATCAACGTAAAAACAGCAAGTAAAACAGGGATCAACTATTGTTATCCCCCAAAATCGAGCAGAGAAAGACCGGGGAGTTCTCAATTTATGTGACCGCCAAGGTGGACGTCGCCATGGAGGATTTCGATCTGGAGGACTACGACCTGAACTTTGTGCAACTGAGTCGCCAGCAGGTGGTGCAACGGTATTCGGGTGCAGTGCGTCAGCTGCGCCGCCTGGCGGACCAACGGTATGCGGTGCGCTCCCTTAGTTTCGACAACTATGTGCTGTTCCAGTATTTCCGGCAACGCAACTGGCAGACAGGCGTCACGCCCCAAATGCCAACCGCCCCGTTGATGGCATACCTCAAGCTGGAGGTACTGCATCACCTGCTGGACCGCCGCCGTCAGATCCTCTGCTGGCTCTTCTACCTAACGCTGGTGTCGCTCTGCGTGGCCGCCTACCGGTACGAGACAACGAGCAGCAACGGTGGCCACCAGGAGCGCGTCGTCCAGGCCATGGTCTATCCGGGAATGCGCATGTGGCGGCGTATGACCATGCCACTGATCCAACGGTTCCCACAGCTCACCGAGCTCCACGACGAGTCCTGTCTGATGGGCAACCCGTTCTTCCAGCTGGAGGATCTCAGCTGCGGACCGTGTGCCGACGTCGAAAGCGTTTGGCTGGAGGGCGAGGAGTGTGTGGATGGGACCCATCTGCTGACGGAGCAGCAGCATCAAAAGTGCCATCAGCCCGAGGGTTCACCCTTTGCCTTTCGCAGCCAGCAGCTTGAGCCCATCGATTTGAGCCACTTCTACAACATCTATGCCAACAATCATCAGATCTTCCAGCGTGATGCGTATCGGGTGCACTCAACCAACCAGGATGTGCACAATCTGGAGGATCTCTTTGGCCAATTCAACAGCAGCTGGACGAAGCAGGCGCACAATCTGTGGCGCTGCAATCGAATGCTGCCCGCCAGACTGTTGCGTCCAATTTTCGCCCGGCCAACGCGTCTGCCCAGCATGGGCGTGGCCCTGGAGCGTTATGTGGCCATCGATACTGCCCAGGCGCCGGCCTACACTCTGCCAGAGACGGAATGCCCCAATGTGTATGTCCATCAGGCGGTCGGCACACGGTTCATCATCCTGCGACCCACCAGTGAGTGCCGGCACCGCTGTCGCACCCTCTCCCTGCGACTCACCCAGTCCCTTGTGCGTGAGTATTCTCCAAGAGGTCGCGTTTATTTCGGGGGAATGATCGCCATCAGATGGGTTCCAACTAAAGCGAGCGGATAGGTTCTTACTATATCTAAATTCTGTTAAATAAGTTAAAACATCTTATGTTTTGGCTAAGTTGTTCTATGGCAATCAATCCATTCTGATTGGTTTTCAATAACTGAACAAAAGCAAACTTATTTAGTCTAGCATGTGTTTATACTACCGAAATTTTTAAAATATCTAATGTTTTTGCTAAATCTTTTTACGACAACCAAGTTATGTTAATATATAGTCTGTTTCAAATGATTTATGATAACCGATTTGTGCCCTTACGCGAAAAAGAAGTAGATAGAGAATATTTCCGGTCGATAGCTTCTAAACTAAGAGAGTTAATCAATGTGATGATTGCCAGATAATACTCCTGATAAGCTTGTTTATTTTTATAATGTAAATGTGTTCGATACAGAGTGACATTATTTTTCATTTATCAACTTGGTGATAATAAGGTTTTTCTTTTCTTAGCTATGTATATTTGTATATACATCGCATATATTTTCGCCTTAAACTTCAACACTTTCTTACTAAATATCAATTTTTTTTTTTTATAGTCAGTTACAATTGGTTGTACTGGAAACCGATCTCTGCGCCGGATCCCATCTCGGAATCGCTGTCCATCAGCCTAATTGGGTCCTACTGCTAAAGGATCCAGATTGAGAACCTATTCCTGTTCCCACTTCCTTGCTCCTAGCTTTAAGCGCCATATATACACACAAACAACCACGACTTTAACCAAGCCAAAATTAATTTACGAATTTTGCCGCCCCCATTGGACAAGCAAGCAAAACAAAAATAAGAACGAAATTAAACGAAAGGAAAAGAAACGAAATGAAAGGAAAGGAAAGGAAAGAATGGAGGAAGGGATAAATCCCAAAACGGAGGAAGCTAGAAGCTGCCTTCGCTATCAGTTTATAGACTATAAGGCCAACGGCTCAATTCGTCGCCCTGTGTAATCCGTAATCCTCAAGCCCTAGATCGTAATCTTAGTTTAGTTTAACCAGTTAACAAGCTCCTGGCCGCCGCGCTTCATTCTTGTGTTCGTCGTTCTAACCATTCTGCATTTACAACTCGGCTCTAAGTTCTTGTTCACACCAACTAGCGTAGTAAACAAAGAAATAACTATTTTGTAAATATCCATTGCCAGACTTGAGTTTGACTTTGTGTTTTTGCAACAACTCGCAAAATAAAAGATACCTTATATTACACAACAAGTTCTTGCGTTTAACATAAACATTACAAAATGTATATTACATTTACAAAATCAATAGTTTATTAGTAAACTACAATTTCTGGTTTATCTGAAACTAATGATTATTATCTATTTAATAATTCGACTTTTGAATTTGCTTAATCATTGCAAATATCAATATTTTAGTGTTTCCGATAATGAACCATTTAATGAAATGATTTCAAAATCATATTAAATAATTTGAATGTTTAATGGACCTTACTAAAATGGATATTCTCATAGAAAAAGGTTTCCTTTTTAGTTTTAAAAGCATATATTTTACCAAATTTGAAATACCCAAATAGGGAAAGGCCATTTAAAGATATAACAACTATGGTTTTCTCTTAATTATCAGTAAATGCTGAACATTTATTTTCCCTTCCGCAGGGCATCGAAATAGGATCCGGTCATGAGGTCCTCCTCCTGGATTCCCAACTCCTTGGATAGCTCCTCGGCGATGGTCTGTCCCTGCTGCAGCGTTTGCTCCGGCCGCAGGCACACCTCCAGCTCCATGAAGTGCCCCAGATCTTGCACCTCGTCCAAATGGATGCGCGTCTGGCCGTGCAGGAACAGGTGACGCCGTTTGGCCAGGACACCAAGGGCACCGTTTGACTGGCGCAGGATCTTCTCCAGAACCTCCGGTTCGTCCACCTCCGTCTTGTTGAACTTGGAGAGCTTGGGACCGGCGACATCCGGACGATCGTAGTAGACCAATTGGGAGCGCGATGGAGCCGGTAAGTAGCGCAATTTAAGGCGACCGCCCAGCGGAGATTCGAAGAACACGTCGCGCTGCTCGATTAACTGGGCATCCTGGCCGCCGCTTAGCTTTCTGGCCAGGATCAGGCGTTTCTCGAAGCCCTCTGCTCCGCCCGGAATCCGTGCCTTCACCTCCACATTTCGTTGATCCGCCGGAGAAGCCACCTCGCACATGTTGCGAAAATTTACGTTTTTGTTTTGGCCAAAATAGCGGCGATAACCGATAAATGGCACAAGATGATTGCGATAGGAGAACATTGAAACAGATGTTCTCGATGACCCACTTTAGAAAACCTATCGCAACCTATCGATGAAAGGCTTTTAGTTTAAACTCTACGTTTTTAGTTATTTTGGAAATCGATAACAAAATGTAGTAAAATGCGACCGCTGTAAAACAGGTTTCTGTTTGGCGCCAATTTTAAAAATTTTGAGTGCGTATTAAAGGGGCGGCAAGTTCAAATTATGAATTTAGCTTAACTTTTGTTGAGTGATATAAATGGATATAAAAAAGCTTAGTTCCAATATTTTATTTTTTACAAAATCATATAGTTATCATTTTTTTTTTTAATATTTTAAAACATTTTTTTCGTTCTGTTAGGAATTATTTATTTTTGCTAAACCTCATTCTGGCGTCACATTTGACAGTGATAATAAATTTTTAAAATTGACCACTAATGAACTTCGGTATGGTTAATAATTAAATATCTTTGCATGATTTGAACCCAAAACGGAAATATAATTTTTAAAAATAAATAATATCCGGAAATTTCTGTTTGTATAAATATATCATACAATAAAAATTGGTATACATACATACATACATACATACATATGTATGTATATTTATTGAGCGTGCAACACACAACTTGAATAGTCTCTTGTCGAGGCCCCGTTTCGTGAACAGCAATAAGAGGAGGAGAGGAGAAGAAAAGGAGGTGGAGAGACGATGTCGCACAACGAACCCATATAACTAATGTATGTATAATGTACATACATACATATATATTTATTTATGTCTTTATATGTATATCGCTTTTGTATGTGTGTGTGTGTGCGAGTGTAGGGTGGTGGCGAAAAGGGCGGGAAATAATGGGCGTGGGCGGAGTTCCCGGGGGTTGCTGTTGCTTTGTTTCACGGGGTAGACTTCGCTAGGGGGAAACAGAAAAAAATTTTGGATAGGAGAAGAGTGGAGGGGCAAGGGAAAAGGATAGGAAGAAAAAAGCAAAAATAAGTTAAAGAAATATGAAGGGGTAGTCTGTTGTTTTCTTCTTACAGTTTCTTCTGTCGTCATTTCATTTTCTTGTTTCTTTGGCTTTGCTCCATATTCTTTATTATCTTTTGCATTGCATTCTCATTTTCGTTGTTTTTCTTTTCTTTTTAAACTGATTTTTCCCTTGATCACTTTCAACACTTATATTTCTTCCTTCTTTTTTAATTTATATATTTCTTTTTCTAACATATACATATTTTCTTTTAATACTTTCTCCCTTTTCTTGTATTTTTAAGAACACGTATTGAACCGAGTCTTCTTTATCTTTATTTTACAAAGACTATAGTTTGTTTTTCTGATCAAGTTTCTAGATTTCTTTTTCTTCTCTATTTCTTAATTTCTTTGTATATATTGTAGGTACATATCTCTCTTATAATTTTCTTTATTTTTTTTTTCATTTTTTCCGCATCCATTATTTGTGTTTCCCTTTTCCATTTCCCCCTCCCCAGTTTTCTTTTGCTATGATTTATTATTTTTTTTTTGGCTTGAAGCTGCTTAAATGTATTTTTAATTTGCCAGCCATGTTTATTTGTTCTTGCTTCCTCTTCTTTTACTTGATTGATTTTCCCGTTTCTTCTTTCCGATTCTGTTTTTTTGGGGTGGAAAAATAAGATTAAGTGTATTACTCTCTTCGGGCTTTTATATACATATGTACATATTTGATCAGATTGAAAAATAGTTCTGTCTTTCAGTATATTTTTTGTAGCAATTGAAACTCTAATTTTCAGATTCGCTTACTTATATCATACTTTATTCATAATGGAAACGTATAAAATGTATAAAATGCGAATTGTATATCTCATAGCATGGATTTATGATCTATGTATGAACACGCTTCAGATACAGAATACATACATACATACATACATTGCACATCTGAGGTCAAAATAATAGTTTGTGAAATTTTAGACTGAATTCTTTCATGTATAAAAGTGCAAATAAATGGGTATGTGTTTTAAATAATTTGATAATAATGTTGTGCGGCAAAAAAAAAGTATCAAAATTTAATAATATAAAAGAATAAGGTCTTTATTTTCCTTATTTATATGGAATAATATTGAAAAGAAAAGTAATCGTTTAATTCCGAACCGTAATTGCATAAATATTTTATTAAAAAAACATAATTTTAATTCCGATCCTTACAGTGAACGTTCTGAGATTGCTTCAGCTCGCCTTTCCGAATATGCACTTTCTTTAAAATATGTTTAAAAATCTTGCTAATATGCATTACCATCGAGGTGACCGCAATTGTTGGCTTGAGTATGTATGTATATATGTGCATATGTATGAATGTATGTACATACGTATGAAACTTTGGCCATAGTGAATGGGAAAGCAACAAAATCGTAGCCAAAACAAGAAGCGGGCGAAAAAGGAGCGAAAAGTGGGTAGGGGGCATGAAAAATGGGGATGGTGCGCAAAAGTGGGAGGGAAGGAGAAACGAGCTGATGCATGGTGGAAAACTTCAGGGAGACGGGCGGAGGTAGACGAAAATTTAATGCAGTTTTCTCAATTTTCTATGTGGAATTTTGCGATGCTCGACGTCGACTGCGATGCCGACTGCGGCAGAGGCAGCAATATAAAATGACGGCGACGACCTTCGCTACTGCAATCGTTTTTGTTGTAGCTCTTGTTCTTGTAGTTGTAGCTTTTGTTGTGGTTGTTGTGTTTTCTAGTCATTTGTTGTTGTTGCTGCGGCCCTCAGTTTTTGGTGGCCGATGGCACAAAATTGTATATTGGCCATGTACAAACACACGCACACAGGCACCCAATAAACACCCATACACCGTGAAAAATATTAAAATAATTTAGATTACATATTTTTTTTTTATATTAAAATAATACAAATATTTTTTTTTTTTAAGAGTTTGCAAGATTGAATATAAACCAGTTTTTAAAATATTTTTAAAATGATGGACCCTATAAATGTATTTAGCTACAACGCTGCGTTTTGAAAAAGCGTTTTTTTGGCCCCATGAAAACTGAAAACATTGAAAGTGGTTTCCGTAAAAAAGTTGTTCTGTTTTGATGCTTACAAATTTTAATATATGTACATATATATTTAAAAAAAACAATTGACAAAATTAAACAATTTTCTGCGTGAAAGATACAAAAAAAAGATTTTATTTAAGTGTGTGTATAAAATGCATAAATATGTATGAAGTGTCTGTATGTTTTGTGGGCGTTTTATATAAAGTAAGACTCTTTTGTGTATGTATCTGGTTTATGCGATTGTAACTGTTTACCACCTATCATCTACCGTTCTCCCTCCCACTCACTCACCGCCCGAAATTGCCATCTCTTTTTCAACATAACCAGCTGCGACTTTAACTTTACAGTTGTTGTTGTTGCCCTGTCTCTTTTGCTCTTTCTATCTGTGTGTGCTTATTTATGTTTTTTTTTTGTCGTTCGAGAGAGAGAGATACTTTGACCTTTTTTCCCATCAAGAAGTCTGTGAGCTGGAGATCATTGCAGATTAAATACACACACATGCAGCAACAACAAAAAAATGTATCTGACGAATACACAGATTTGTATCTCGGCTTTTTTCGGTGTTCTTTTTGATTGTCCGTTTGCTTAATATTATTTCGCTGTTATTCACTTTTTGGTGGTATTTTTATGTATTTCCTTTTTTCCCGGCTTTTATGACTTCATTTTTTCGTTTGGCCAAATTTTTTTTTCCCCCAATATTGCTTGTGTATCTATAAGATACATATTGTTTTTGCTTTGTTCCTAGGCACCCAACATTTTTCAATGGAATCGATTGTGAAGAACAAGAGGGCGGAAGACACATACAACAAGTGGAAGCCAAAAATCTGCATGTGGCTGTATGTATCTGGGTGTATCCCTCCATTGAAACGCCCCCGCACCCAACCCTTTGCACCATTTGAACTCACCCAAAAATCCCCAACACGCCAACCCCCTCTGTAGTTCAATGGACTCTGCCTTTTTGGCATACACTCACTTTTGCGAAACGGGGAAAATGAAAACTGGGAATAGTCTGCCGATCTTTTTGTCGGTGAAAAGTATTTTATTGAGAGCCACAGACCCTAAAAGATCTTAAGTCACTTAAAAATGTGTCTAAATGTATGCTTTAAAAAATTAGAACTCATATTTTAATATACATATATCATTTTTTTTAAACCTATTTATATGGGATACCTAATCTCTAGATATTACTATATTAAGTAATGTAATAATGTCAGTTTAAGGAATAGTAAACTTGACCTAGTGTGATACATAACTTATATTATTTTTATTTTATATGACTAACGCCACAAAGCATACTACACTTTTTTTTTATATACATATGTATAAACAAACCTTGGTTTGTATTTTTTTATAAAGTTTAAGTTATTCTGCTCTTACAAATAATAAAGTCAATGATCCTTTATTATTTTGTATATGGCACTTACTAAAAGAGTATGAAAGCTTCGACTTTCCGCTTTTACTTTTCATTGTGCTTGTTTCTTAAGTTTTTCTTTTGGCAATGCACCAAATTCCAAATTTCTGGGGAGTCAAGAATTTTAAATACTCTGTAAAACAAAGGTTTTTCGTTTTGATTGTTGTGGATTTAAACTGATAGTAAGAAAATACATTTTTTTTTTTGACAAAATAATATATTTATATTCTATACCAGCTTACTGAATGTATAATAATATACCCCTACTTTCGTCAAACTTGAGTGGGGGAAAATAAATGGGAAAAATAATAATACAAAAGAAAAATTAGCTGCTATTTCTCCATATTTCCCTCCCTCCCATTTCACCACCCATTTGCCTACCGCCCACCATATATCTGTCTTTTTCGCACTCGTATCACCTTTGTCTTTTATTTGCAATTTCGCTTTTTTGCCTTTCTTCGCTATTGCAGTGAAAATAAATAAATTAGAAATGTCTCTATCCACACACACAGATATATATGTATATGTTTATATATATATATATTTATATATTTACAAATATAAATACATAGATGAAGATATATGTATGTATAGATTGTG